AGTTCCCCAACAATGGCAGTGTTCTTCGTCTTCGTTTCTCTGTCATTTCCCTTTTCAGGCTCGATTCGAAACCAAAGAAACAGAGCAAGAAAAACAGAGCAACCAAACAAAGCAAGAAGCCAAAGAAACAGAGCCAGAAAAACAGAGCGAAACCTAAAACCTACGTTCTTCGAGGAACCCAAGAACCCAGAACTAGGTTCTTCACGAAACCCAGATTTGGGTTCCTCACGAAACCCAGGAACCCAAAACTAAGTTCCTCAAGGAACTGGGTTCCTCAAGAAACCTAGCACCAGGTTAGGTTCCGCCACCCAACACTGGGTTGGGTTCCTCGCGGAACCCGTTTAGGTTTCGCGAAGAACCAAGATGAACAAGCGAAGACCAGATCTGGGCGACGGTCGCCAGATCTGGGAATTCCAGCGTGTAGCTCGGTAGATTTGTGTGAGGGAGCAAGGAGCCGCGAGACCTGCAAGCAAGCGGGCAACACACAGAAACAGGAAACAAAGAAAACAAACAGAAAACAAAAACCCAAAAAAGGCACCCGAAGGGCCTAGTCGTCGAGAGACCTCATGGGGTCATCGGAGCAGGGGACAGGCCGGCTCCATCGGGCTTGAGCAGTCGGAGAACCCGGCGGCTCAAGCAACAAAACTCGGAAGCCCAAGGCTTTCGAGCACAAAAAAAGGGGATGCCGGAGAAGACGATCAGAAGCCGGAGAACCCAGATCTGGAGAGGAAGAAGAAGAGGGGAAGAGAGGAGATAGAGAAAGAATAAGAAAAGTTAAAAAAAGTCATGTGGGCCCCATTAAAAGGGAAAGTTAAAAAGGTGATAATATGATGTGTAAAAAAATATACCACGTGTAAAAAAAAAAATGCCATGGTAACAAAATTTTCATAGTTGGATTTACACATCATTAAAAATGAAAAAAGCCAGTGATTTTGTGGTATTTTAACGAGCCACCTGGCGTTTAACTGACGGAAGGACCATTTTGGTACCAAAAATGAAAGTTCGAGGATAATTTTGGTACTTTTTAAAGCTGAGGGACAATTTTAGTATCAAAGTGATAAGTTGAGGGACTAAAATGGTATTTAAACCTAAATTTTAAGAGTAATAGTGTTTTTCCAAAAATCCTTAACTGGCTTTAAGTACGTTGGGCATTAGGCATGTCAGTTGCTTTGTCCAAAACAAGAAAATAGGATTTTTTAGACAACATTTTTCCTTTTCAATGATTGACCTCCAAAAAGATAGCTGAAAAAAACGTCTTTGAAATAAATTGTGCCCCCAAATGATGTTGCAAAACAAAAGGTAGAGTTATGTAGAATGGGTTACTAATTACCTTAGAAACCTTCAAAAACTTCACAACCACAAAAGTATAATAAAAGTTACAAATTCTAAAATTAACACAAAATCCTAAGGTAATTAATCTAACATGAAATCAACAAAAAAGAACAACATGCCACAAAAATAAAACTCGCAAACAACAAAAAATGTAAAATCACATGTAACCACTACGCAATCCATAACAATTAAACTAATTACTTGTAGATTTAAAATAAAAATAGCTAAACTACTTGATAACTAAAACTGAAGGAGAACCTATGAAATAATTAAAGTCTGAAAACTTATAAAATTAAATCTGTAAATTGAAATTAAGTAAATTGCATGTCTGACTATTATGCAGAAACAAAAGAACAAAGGTAGAAAGTATTCAACCTATTTAAATGAACAAATAACATAAATGAATCCATAAGAGAAAGAAGAGCTAACCAAATCAACAGGGCAAACTTGTTTTGCAGGTTGAATTGCTTTCAAATGCTTAAAAACTAACTTAAATTGAAATCTTTGAGGAAAGATATGAACAAAGATGGAAAAACCTAAACTAAGATTATGAACAAGAACAAATCTTGCAAACTAATCTGAAAACTATGCTGAAACCTGGGAAAAAGCAGTCTGAAAGTTGAAAAACATATGTTCTAAGCAGTATGTGTAAGGTAGGCCGTCTGGAACCGATTTCTTCTCCCTATTTTTCTTTCCTTCAGTGCTGGGAAACCTCTTCCATGTTTCTCGGCCCTCTCGCACCATGGCTGAATGGTGGAGACTCCACTTTTGGCAGTTATTTATTTTTTATTCAATTTTATCTTCATTAAACCCTAAGGATAACCTCCTAAAAACTCTCAATTTCCTCTTTCAATCAAACTCAAACACCATAACCCAACTTATCTTCTGCAACTTAAATTCCAACCTCTTTGAAAATCCATCTGGGCCATTTAATTTCAAGTTAGCCCAACCCAATTCTACCTAATCCAACTTTAATGACTCTCCTTAAAGGATGGACTTACTCTTAACACATGACTTCATCTCATTGAATTATTTTTAAGGTGTAAACAAATAGTTTAATAGAGTTTAACAGTAATTATTATATTTGAACTGATTTTGTAAGAATAAAAATTTGGAATAGTAAATTGGGTCAACAAATTTTGGGAGGCAATTTGTATATTTTGCCCTTTCGAAATATAAATGATTTGCATTCTCTCGAAAATTGCATACGTAATGTTGCAGTACGTTTAATCCTGCCAAGTTCTCTCGGGCGATTGCTCTTTGAGCGATTAGGCCTAGCCACTGCCTCTAAATAAAGATCTTTGTTTCGGCATTACCCATATGGGGTAATGGGAAAGAAAATTATGCTTTGTTTTCTGTCAAAATTATGCGTCTACCATTCTGTTTATTCTCTACTTCAGACTGGGATGGCGGAAGGAGAACAGGAAAATATTGAAAATGGAATTTGATTACTCCAACTTGAATTCTTTATGTTGAGAATTTATTGGAAGCACCGCCACCAAAACCAGTCACAGTACAAGAAAAATAAATTCAAAATTTTCATGTCCAGGGATTATTTCACTCTGCAGAAGGCAAAAGTTAATTCAAAGTCTAATTCCTCGATCCCCTTTAACCTTATTCCCAATGCCAAAGAAAACACTAGAAGTTGGCCTCTAACCACCATCCAAACCACTTCCCCAGAAATGCCCTTTCTGTTAAAGTTGGTCTGTAACCAAACAGGCCCTAAACTAGGCCGAAAAAAATGCTCAAGAGATGAAAACAAATCTAATCACAA